TTCAGTACATCCTCCTCCCAATAAATACTGAAATATTGTTTGAATCTTTGCATTCATTTGTGTGCAGTCATTTATTGCATTGTTGGTAAAATGATAATATTATAAGAAAATTTTTTGTGAATCTTTGATATTTAGAGTGGATACTGCCAGGGCAGTTATAATGCATTACTATTTCAGTCTTTTTCCGTGTTATCATCCTGAAACTGAAAGTTTTTCTATACCAGGCACATTAATTCATGAAGTTCACTGCAGGTTGAACACAAGGAGGCACTGATTACAGAAGAACTAAGCATTTCAAATTTGATTGTTAAAAAAAGGAAGGTTTTAGCTAAAACAATACCATAGATGTTTTTTTATTGTTTGGACAACAACCACGGCACCTGAACTGTGGAAGTGGCAATGCCTGCCATGTTGGAGGGGCTTGAGCTCCTTAGATAAATGAGTCCAGCTCTAGTTTAAAGTGATTTTCTTTTAGTAAAAACTTTATAACAATCATAAACCAGAATCTAAATGGAGTATTTTAATATAAATTTAAAAAATTGATAAATATATAGCAACTGTTAAATAATTATCCCCCTATTTCTTGAATAAGCACCAAACTTGAAGAGACCTTTCATGGAAACTAACAACGCCAAACAAGTTGTTAAAAGTTTGCACTCCCATAAAGTAAGACGTTACATTTACAGTGCAAGTTAAACCAACAGGTCATACATTGATAGCAAAACTATACAGTCTTGTAAAATTCTGGACGAGCCTATTTTAATGATCCCTGGGTTAATCGCAGATGTGTTAGTGAAGCTTTTACCAAAGATGTTTCCATTCATTATACCCTCCTTTAATTGTTTGACAGAGCTGTCAAATATGCATTAAGATCAATCAAAATTGTATTACATACAGCATTAGAAACTAATTCATAAAAGTTTTACACCAATCAATGTATCCCATTTTTTAATGGAGTATTTTTATTCTGGATGGCTAACAGACACCCAAAGGGAAAGACTTTCATCAGCATGCAGCAGCACAACTTAGAAAAAACTAAATAAAGAACAAATTATTTTCATTTTTAAGGATATTTGGGCACTGTGCATGGATATTTATGTTCCTGTGCAGCAGATTGCCCCTCTGCAAGGTGTGTTTTTCAGCATAGAGTGAGCAGCATGTCTGAAGTGGCGGCAGCTCCATTGCTCCATCTGTGTCTACACAGGTGGTGTGTAGATATGATCTCAAAACTAAAGGTTAGCTTCATTTAGCTTAATTTTTAAAGCACATTTTAAGTCCTTGAAAAAGAATCTGATTAGTCAGTCACTTAATTTGGATGGGATTAAACTGATTTCAGATAATAAAGTAAAACATCTTGGTGTTATTTTTGATCAGGACCTGTCATTTATGTATATCAAAGAGGTTTCTAGAATTTTCTTCTGTCATCTGCGCAATATTGCAAAAATTTCAAATATTCTGTCCAGGGGTAATGCTGAGAAACTAGTCCATGCATTTGTTACTTAAAGGCTGGATTATTTAATTCTTTACTATCAAGAAGTCCATAAACTGTAGTTAAAAGCCTTCAGCTGATTCAAAATGCTGCATCCAGAGTTCTGATAAAAATTAAAAAGCCATCCTAACTTCCCTTCATTGGCTTCCTGTTAAATCCAGAATAGAATTTAAAATCCTCCTTCTCACATATAGAGCCATAAATGGCCAGGCTCCATCTTATGTCAGAGATATGATTGTTCCTTATGTTCCTAACAGAGCACTTCGCTCTCAATCTGCAGGTTTTCTAGTGGTTCCTAGAATTTCTAAAAGTAGAATAGGAGGTAAATCTTTTAGTTATCAGGCTCCTCTTCTGTGGAACAAACCAGTTTCAGTCCTTGAGGCAGACACCCTGTCTACTTTTAAGACTAGGCTTAAAACTTTTCTTTTTAATAAAGCTTATAGTTAGAGGGGCTCAGGTTAGCTATCGCTATATTTATGCTGCTATAGGCTTAGACTGCTGGAGGATATAGTGACCTCTTTTTCATATTTTGCTTCATTCTATCTCTATTCTCCCACTCTGCAGAATTTGTTAGTTCAATCTCTAACATTCTGCTCTCTCTGTTTTTTCTCACATTAGCTTTGCCTCGTCTGTTCCTGTTTGGCTGTGACTCCATCCTGGAGAGAAATATAGGCTCTGCTGCTGCCATCAACACCTTTGTTTATAGATGTTTTAGATCTGCCTGTTTTTCAGTATAGTGCTGTTTCTGTGACTGTGACTGGCTGGATGTGCTCTCTACATCCTCTGACATGGGAGCTGGCCGGTTCTGATGGAGGTTTACCCACGTTAAAAGGGAGTTTTTTTCCTCTCCACTGTCGCTACAAGCATGCTTGTTGTGAGGGATTGCCTTCGAGTGAATGAGTCGATGCAATCAACTGGTTTTCCTAAGTTAGAAAACTTTGAATCAAGTGCCTTGAGATGACATGTGTTGTGAATTGGTGCTATATAAATAAATTGAAATGAATGTTACAAAAAATACTCATACAATGCTGTAGTTTCCTAGAGAGAAAAAAACCCCACATTGATAGAAAAGTGAAATAAAAGAAGTCTATTTCTGCTTCAGCACATAGTTCTAGCTCCATGTTTTCAGCCTGATGAAAACTTGACAAACTGCTCTCTAAGCCATGTGTTGCTTCCTACTGACATCCTGCTCAGTGTCATTGTCTGAGCTTTTAGAGTGTCGTCCCTCCATCTGCTCATTCCTGACGGTTTTTCTGCTCAGATAAAAGGGAACTGCCAACTGTGTAAAAAGGAAGAAATCCGCTAGGAAAAAAATGTGTAATATGCATCCACCAGCGTTAATTGCTGAAGAAAGGAGAAATATACGAGGGATGAAATCCTAACCATAAAATTCATCTTATTTCATCTTTTCCTTTGCAGTATCTCCATCCAACCTAATGTACTTTTACTTTCTGAACTCATTTTTGGCATGTATTCAGTTATTTTAACCACTAATTACTCTGTACCTCAAAACATATTTGTATGGTTATAGAGCAAATCCCTCAGCTCAAAGAGTGTGGCCCTAAGCCAAATTCACTGAGGCTGTCAGTTGTCACAATTCTATCGATGTTGGGTAACAAACAAAAAGCATAAAATGAATCATTTGGGCTGTTAAGGTTATGTATATACATTGTCAATAAATTAATGCACGCCTGTCTGTTATCACGGGGTTTTATGTACCATTGAATTACCAGAGTTGTGTATGAAAACATTATTTATTACACCAATGTTTAGGAAAGATTTTGAACTTATTCTGGCTTTCTTGTATGACTTACCGAACTGAGCAGAGCTGCTCTTGGACACGCTGAACAGTAGACCTGTCTTTAGGTAAAACCATTAACTTTATTAATGCAAAAGACCCACCGATTTTTGCCTTGAAGGCAAGAACTTGCTGACTGCTGTGTGCAGCTGTGCTTATCTACCAGTCTTTGGGGAGAGTATGTTCCTCTTGCATTAAACCTAAACATAAAAACGGTAAATAAAAGAATCATCCCAAGCAATTGTTATTTATAAATGCTGCTAATCTGTTTCTGCACCCTGTTTCTATTGTAACCTTCTGCAGGCCTGCTGCAGGCAGGGTGTGTCCCCAGATGTCTGTTTCTACTTGCTCTCTTTCCAACTAACATAAAGGTTATTATAACTGACATAACAGCACAGATGTTGATTTTCATTATTACACGAGTGAAAAATAAATCAGCTTAAACAGCATTTAAAGTGGTAATTATAATTTACAATAAAAGTAAATGTTAAAAAGGCCTATTGAAACCACAGCCTTAAACCAAGGCTTTTTTTAATTGTATGCATATTTTGATTCTAGTAGCAGATTCACAAAAAAATTCGAAAAAAGCTTTAAAAGGTGATAATTAAACCGTTATAAACTGGAGAAACTCACTTGGAAATTGTTAGGTATGACATATATATAGATAGTTAACTGGTGTATGTTTTCAGACTTTATTTAGCTAAAAAAGAATAATAGGTTTTCTGTTTCAGTGTTTTTTCTTTCAATGTTTTAATATGTGCATGTTGTGAATCTATGTGCACTTGTTGAGTTGGTTCTTTATTTCCATAGGCCTGTGCTTTGCTGTGCAAACATGTTTGTACCAGTTTTAAGAGAATTACACTCTGAAGTGAAAACAGGAAATGGGGATCACTGCAGAGCAACTACATTGAATAATCTCTTCCATATAAGCAACAATCATTGAGAGGATAGTGGAAGTAGAGCCTGGTTTCCTGACTTAGAGTGAGGCGAATGATAAAAAGTAGGAAAAACGAAGGGAGCTACGTACATCAGTCAGGCAATGAATGGAAAGTAACCCAGAATTTGGATAAAGACAAGCCTTCACACGCTGCATCCATGTACATCTTTTTATAGCTATTTCAGGCCAGACAGTCCTTTTCCACATTAAACCTAAAAAAAGTAGCAACCCTGCTATTTTAACTCATACGTCCTGTCTAAATTTAGCTTAAACTGTCAATTTTATAAACACACACAGTCTTCATTTAGCAGGCTCTTCATATTTCACTTTTGAACCTTTTTGGCACCTTTTCCACACAGTTATGCCCAGGAGGTAAGATAAGGAATGTTATAGTAGTCAAAGTGGTGAATAAAGAAAAAGAAAATAAAGTTTCATATAAAACAATCACTAGTGGCCTTACAATGAACAGAAAAGGCACTTGAAGGCACTAAGTAGGAGACAAACTTAAACTACCACTTTTCTTCCTTTTTAAGTGAATCAATCAAAGAAAATTCAAAGACCAAGCTTTCTGGTTACCATGGCTGCAATAGCTAATGGCTCTGAATGTCTGACACATTTATTACATTTATTGCCTGACTAAATTCCCATTAAAAGAACATTTTTTTAACCCATATCAGAGTTCACTTTAAGCCGACAAGACACAAACACTACAACAGATAAACGAGGCACCCCATTTGACCAATTTGTTTGGTAAAAGCGTTTCACTTGACTCTTACCTGAGCAGAGGAGTCAAAGCTACGTGGGCCAAGAATGTGGAGCGTCCGGCTCAGCTGGGAGCGGACGATTACCAGGAGCTTTACGTTGACTGATATGAAAGGCTGAATCTCTCCAGGAGTGGAGGAGAAAAAACTCAAAAGTCTTTCTGTCCTTTTAAGTTTGTCCGTCTGTTGCTACAGCCAACATTCCCTGCAAGAAAACAAAGAGAAAGACTTTAGGTCATTCTTTCAACTTTCTGCAAAAGTTCACATTTTACAAGATATTTTACAGGTCCTTTGCAGAAAACTACTTTTTACTCATATCCCTTACACGTTTCCACTTGTAAATATCATGGTATTTTCCTTTGTCTTTAACTGTATGTGACAGATCAACAATCTGCAAAGTGTGGCATACACTTGCATTCATTTCCTTTTATCTGATAAAAATATGTGTGACCGATTATTTCAGAGGTCCCCTACTTTGTAAAAACAGAACAATAAAAAAAGAAAGTGTAAACTAGGGATGGCACCATTCCTCTAATTAAACATGATAGTGGCATTATCATGCTGAGGCTTATCTCCACCAGGAAGAGTCAAACTGATCCAAATTAGATCAGCAGTAGCCCTGTTAAAAGTTGATAAGGATACAAAACTGGGCCACTTTTATTGGAACAGTAACCCTAAATGTTGGATTAATTGTACAAGTTATTCTACTTTAATCATATTATACTTATACATTCATATTTACACATTTGCATATTCCTGTATACTTGTATTACACAAAGTGTTGAAATGTTTCACTTGCTGTCTTTCTAATGCTTGTTATTAGTGTGTGCAGATGGAGTGCTGGCTGCTCAAGGTCAGCAAGGAGAAAACACGGGGAAATGCACTCACTAACACCGAGAAAGGAGTGAAAGTTCTTATCTCATGATACTGTATGATGTTTTGCAGACTTCTGGTTCCGACTGGCTTCACCCTTCCCCCTCCCCTTAGCAGTCGGAACCACATTGTAGCCAGGGCGTTTCCTTAATAAAAAGCTTGGTAGAGCGGAGACTGTTTCAGAGTGGTTTGGAGAATTGTAACTGAACAGTCTCTGATCACTCTCCTTGCAAGTGAATCATACTAAAATTCTCTGTGTCATTCTTTGTACAGGTTACTGCATAAAATGTTTGGTGTTTAAACCTAACATTAATTGGTCCTTCGAGCCGGATTGCAAGATACCCGACGACCCCCAGCAGGTAAGTGAGACCCAGATAAGCCTGCGGCCGCAGCAAACAGACCCTTTACGGGACTGGTCTCTCCCTAACTAGCTGGGGTCCGACGGTTGAAGCATTTCGAGGACGCAGAGAATTGTGAGTAGTTTTTCTTTTAATAAGGAGTGAGAGAATTATTGGAAGAAAAATATATAAAAATATAAAAAATGTATAAAAATATAATAATATAAAAAAAAAAAAAAAAGAAGAAGATAGAAGTGAAGGGCGTGGGGTCACGAGATTCCCCTTTTGAAGTTCTCTCAGCGTGGGGTCACGAGATTCCCCTTTTGTACTAAAACCCTGACAATTCTAGACTCTATCAGGTAAAACAGAAATTTTAAAACAGTTAAAGTCCGCGGGAGGGCAGGCTCCCCCCCCCCCTGACAAGAAAACCTATAAAACAGTCCCATTCTACAGATAGAGAAATGTTAATAGAATAGACATTCATTATTTGTTCTAGGTTTTGTCCCTCTGTTCTTGTTCCTTTTTCCTCTCTATTTTATCAGCCTTCTGATGGCACTTTAGCAAAAGCATTTTTATCAAAAACATAATTAATATGCACAAATAAGGATTAGTTGTATTAACTATACATGTGAATAGCACCCCAACAGTTTTCCTGTGTGACAGTGGTGCATGCAGAACAACTGTTAAACAACAAATTCCAGGTGCTGGCCAAGGACCTGAGACTGTCATAGTCCGATTATCTCAAGGTCATTTAAAGGCTGTGCAGGAGATCCAGCTTGTGTGGTTGAGAGACCCTGAAGGACTCTCCTGCCGGCTGTCTGTACTGACTTTACCTGAATGTCCAGTTAACCTCTTAGGCAGGGATGCTCTATGCTTTGCTTAGACAGAGGCTGGGCATCCCATCCCTGGTAGGGACACTATTGGTCTGGTGTCATTGGTACTATGCATTATGCATGCCCCTTTTTTTTTTTTTTTATGCTTGATATGAGCATCAGTACTGATGAGAGGAATTCATTGTTTAAAGAGAAAAGGAGCATTTTGCTACATTAATAAACATTTTTAAGCACTACACTAACTAGATGCTGTTTATCAATGTTGGAGTATCACCGGCTCTGATGAATGTGGAATTAGGACTGTTTTCCACTTTGTAAACGATTTCATTTGAACAACTGAGACAGACGGTAAATACAGTACTTTCTTCTGAATATATAGAATCGTGCAGAGTTAAACCCCACTCTTATATTTTACCTACTATGCTTCATTAAAAATAATAACTTCACTATGAAAGTTGAACATCTGGGCTGTAGTTACTCTGTGTTGCCCATCTCATGTATTTTATCTGTGGCTGAAACCTGAATCAAATTCATTGTTTATTTGCATATTCGTAAAAAAATTTAGTGATTCATCATTAAATGGAGTATAGAGACTCTAACACATAATATACATGTCAAATCTAGCTTTCCCCGACAGAGTAACCCACTTGGATCAGTAATCATACCAAAACTGTAAAATAAATTTATAAACATTTTGCAAATACGATTATATAATGTTTTTGTCTGTCAAGGAGCTCTTCAGGAGGAGATGTTTTGGTTTCACCTGGTTTAATGTCATTAGTAATCTTCTTTACAGAACTTTTGGCTAACCAATTAATCGAAAGAATTAACGATAGACTGATCGATTTACGAAATAATTGTTAGTTGCTGTCCTAATTTTCATCGTAACATTGTATTAAACATAACATTTCTTATTAAAAACATGTGAAATGGGGATGACATTCAACGAAACAAACATGTTAATCAGCCAAACTATCTTAAAATCCATGATGGCCCCTATATGTGACCAGAACATAAACCAATCCTTCCAAATAAAAAATTCTTTGAATGAGCTGCTATATTGAGTCATGATTTTACTCATGTCTCAAACGGGGGGATTGTAGGATTGATTGAGCATTGAGCATCATTATACAGCATATGGATTTATATTTTATGCAAAAAACTTTTGTAAAGCATGTCTAATATGTGCTAAACATAATCTTCAAGGAAATTTAAGACCTAAAAAAAGGTGCTTTCCCTAAACCTATTTATCCTTTCAATTCTGTTTGGTTATAATAGATTTGTTTTCTAAATGGATTGCAAGAAAGTGATAGTTAGATCAGATGAGTAATAAGTAAAATCACTTTCTTAATTATTCTGTGGAACCTTACCGTACTGCTTAGCACTCTAGTAATTCTACTGTGGTACCTGTTATAGAATACACATTTGGTCTCCTTCACCGACCTCCAGAGGAAGTCCATCGTACAAAGGGGGTTGTATTTTTTAGCATACAACCATCTCAAACTGGTGAAGGTTCAACAACTCTGCCGAGAGGTCATAGGAAGTAGACCATTGTGTAAAAAGATTATCCATAGAACACTTTTGAAGTTTGAACCTAGATGATGTTGCGATTATTCATATTAGTTTTGTTTTCAGCTCTCGCTCAGAGCAAGGATTCTTGTTGCCCTCATGATCCAGCTATTTGTAAAAGGGACGTCTATCTCTGCTATAACTCTACTAGAGTAATCAGTTTGGTGACTATTCTTTTTCAAACATTCTCGCAAAGATTTAAACATGACCCGAGAAATTGGCACGGTTATGATTTGTACCTATTTCCTCGCGTAGTTCAAAGAACTCATAATGGTTGGGGAGAATATCAGGGTTCACTGTTAACCATGCCTCCAAAGTTTTCACTATGACAACAAACTCCACAGCAGAACCCCTTGAGAAGGAAGGCTGTTCTTCCTCATTTCTATGTGCACGGTCTAGTGGAACCGATCCATGTTGGCCTTTGTATTTGTGCCCCGTAAATATTACACAAGAAAGAGATGAGATACAAGGGATTCTTACTTCTGCCCAAGGTGAACAGATAAAAATTCAAAATATTAATGGTCCGCTTAAAACAGATGAATTGTTTCAAGTCATCACTGGAATCTCTGGGCAAACAAACAACTGGCTTTTAATGGCAGAACAAGCAGCTAAAACAGTGTCTAATGATTGTCTTGTGTGTATGGGAGCTAGACCGCTGTTACGTGTGGTTCCTGCTACCATAACTCCTCAATGTCTTCTAAATATAATGAATTATACAGTCCCATCTGATAATTGCACCTATTGGGATAACATCTATCCCCTGACCACAGCTGAGAAAAAGAAACCAATCTTTTTGAAAAAAGTAGCTGTGGCAAATTTCACCTGTGTAAACAGGACCGGAGTGGGCCCGAAACTAGGCACACTAAATGAAACACAATGTGCAAGTATTTTACTGGTATCCACCTTTTTTAAAAAAACCTCAATTCCGCAGCGACATCTGGTGGTGGTGTGGAGATGACAAATTGTTTGACAAACTTCCATGTAACACCACTGGATTATGTGCTGCTGTCACTTTGATTTTACCTGTTTCTGTTACATCACTCACAACTGATGAATTGTTAACGACTGCAAACAGCATTTTACCTCACACAGAGCATACTAGAAGGAGGAGGGCATCTGAAGATGCATGGAGTGGAGATGATCCTACTTATATTGATAGCATTGGTGTACCCAGAGGTGTTCCTGATTAGTATAAACTAGCCAATCAAGTTTCTGCAGGATTTAAATCTTTTTTATGCTGGTGGTGTACTATAAATAAAAATGTAGACAGGATCAACTACATCCATTATAACGTCCAGAGGCTGGGAAATAAAACAGAACAAGGCTTCTCCGCCGTCCATGAACAATTGTCAGCTACCTCTCTGATGGCTTTCCAGAACCGTATTGCTGTTGACATGTTGTTAGCTGAAAAAGGTGGTGTGTGCTCTATTTTTGGAGATCAGTGTTGCACCTTTATTCCCAACAACACCGCTGCAGATGGCAGCCTCACAAAGGCTCTTGAAGGCCTTCGCTCTCTTAACAGCAAAATGAAAGACCATTCTGGAGTTGACACAAAAATGTGGGATGGATTTGGAGACATTTTTGGTAAATAC